AGTCTGAAGTGTAGGGAGCAGCCATGGAGAAGCTAATGTGGAATCTCTCAAGGTCATAAAGAAAAGGAAGTGAGGTCATCTCCAGAGATTGGGTTTGTGTGGCTTAGTCGTCTCCAAAGAACTTAACGGGAGTAGAGAAGGGTTGGAACGGCCACTGGGGGACGGTCAGGGGCGTCGACAGCACGACTAAAAGGTCTGGACGGCAGCAGGGCCCAGCTGGGGCTGGATAATGTGAATTTTCTAGTGAAACCCATGAATGCAGTTTTATGAGTTTCTCCAGCAACCTTTCGCCGCCTGTGTACAGAGGCCCGCAGGAGATATGTGGAGCCTTTTTGCTCCCTCCTTAGGACTCAACACTTGATTACAAGCCCGGAAGAGCAGTGCCCTGTGCTGATGCACTGAGCCATCTGCAGAGAAGGAACAATGGGCTCCCATGGGGCGGGGGATGGGCCAGGTGGGAACGACGGACGCTTGAGATGGGAGAGCAGAGTTTACTGCTGAAGGGACGGACCATGAGGAAGCCTGTGCAATCAGAATGGGGCCGGGGAGAATTGAAAGGGGCTGGGAGGCTGCCGTGAAAAAGCTGTTTGCAAAAATACATACACTGATGTCCGCTCATTACTGCCGCCTAGGAAATAGCGCCTTCCCTACTCACCCAGGGTGAGTAATAATTTGTGTCAGGCAAGGATAAGGGAATGCTTATTTCATTCTGTTTACTACCAAAGAAAATCAGGGGCTGGACAGGATGGTAAAACATGGGCCCTGGTAACATGCCTGGTGTTTGCTAACGAGGTTGTACTACAACCATGCTCTGCCTTCCAAAACAACACCCCCAGGAAAAAGAAAGAAAGTCATTTTCCTTTCTAGGCAGAAGATTTAACATTGCTTAACAATAACACTTAACATCGCTGAGCCCTTAGCCTCAGGCAACCTCATAACTACTAAGTGTTAGGAATTGTCTTGCTCTTGAACTGGCTAGGGCTCCGGCTTTATTTTGTAGAGTGGCATTTAGCCTGGCAGTGGGCTGCATGGGCCCCCTTAAAAGATGACATGGTTCCATGAAAGCATAGCATGGTGCCCCTTGACCTGGGCTACTCACCAGCTCCACGCCGACTCTCTCTGTGTTGATGGCTCCAAACTTGGCACATAATCCATATTATTGAGTTTATCTTAAAAACTCCATTGAAAACCCTCCATAAACAACATAGGGACCAAGTCAGTCAGCATATTAAGTCTCCTATACAGTTGGCCGCCAACTTCCTATAGATAGGATTATTCCTATTTGTATTTAAAAACTTAACTCCATAAATAGTTTAAAGCTTCCTGATGCTAAGAAAGGATCGGTGCCTTAGGAGGTGAGCTCTCCCAAGTCTCCTGGCAGAAGGGAGAAGGCAGTGGACTCGGTGTGATTCAGTTACATGGACAGGCTAGAATACCAGGCCCTGGAAGGCTAGAATACCAGGGTAAATGTTGAGGGCGCTTGGGGCAGACCCTGCGCACCTTCTCTGCAGTCAGCAGTGCGTATCTGCTGCCTCTGCATTCTGCAGCGTGGTGGGTAAATATGGAGCCCTCTCTGTCCAAGGATTGGAGCACATGGCTGAGGGTCCTTTGCATCTTCCTTTTAGATACCAAGATGGAAACTTGAGTTTGAGCCCTGACTCCCCATTTAAAAAACAGTCAGTGCCAGGGATCTCTCCTGCATTTGACTGAGCCCCATTCATTGTCCATCACGGCAACATGGTTGCCAGGTAGCCATCATGGCAACACAGCTAATCACTCCTGCCCCTGCGTATGCGTATGAGTGGACTGTTTATCAAATTTGTTCTCTGCCTAAGAGGCTTCCATTCAGCTACAGTTATATTTCGGGGCTGGCAGGATCTTATCAATTCATACATTGTGATGATAGCTTCAGAGCCACAAACAGCATAAATGTATTGTCTTTGTCAGAAAACACCCTCTGCAGTATTTAATCCTAAAATAGACTTGTTTAGATGCAGCCGTGATTGAGTATTTTGAGGCTTATTAGTAAAAATAGGGGTTGGAAATTCGGAGGACTTTATGCTAATAATGACGAATCTAAGCATTTGTAGCGCCATCATAAAAGGTTGATTTGTTGCCTCCTGTCCTAGGCTGCAGGGTCCTGAGGACAGACTTGCTGTGTTTCCAGTGTCCATATTCCGAGGGCCTGATACAGAATGAATGGACAATACATATATTGGGAATGAGTGAATGATTGACATTTATAGAATTTTCAGTGATAGTTTTGTGCTTTTGGTTTGTACCAAAAAGTCCATTTCCTCAGTCTAAGTTCAGGTTGGCCAGGAAGACATTAAACTGTTTCCAATTTTCCTTTTTTTCTTCCCTCTCACAAGAACATACTACTTTCCATCTGCCTTAACTGCAATTTCCATAAACTTCAACATTGGAAGCCAGAAATTTTATATTTAAAACAAATTTTGGAGACGACTTCCATCTTTTTAGAATGAAAACAAAATACAAGGCCAGGGAAGAATAGGGAGAGGCAGGAAATCCAGGATGGGAAAAAACTGTGAGACAAAATATACATATATTAAAAAAAAAAGAAAACTTGATCTAAGGAAAATAAAGGAAAAAAATAAACAAATGGGAATACATCAAATTAAAAGCTTCTACATGGCTAAAGAAACCATCATCAGAATGAAAAGGGAGCCCTGGCTGGTGTGGCTCAGTAGATTGAGTGCCAGCCTGAGAACCAAAGGGTGGTTGGTTCGATTCCCAGTCAGGGCACACACCTGGGTTGTGGGTCAGGTCCCCAGTGAGAGGCAACCACACATCGATGTTTCTCTTCCTCTTTCTCTTTCTCTTCCCCTCTCTCTGAAAAAAAATAAAATCTTAAAAAAAAAAAGAATGAAAAGAAAACCGACTGTATGGGAGAACATATTTGCCAATGATACCTCAGGCAAGGGTTTGATCTCCAAAATATGTAAAGAGCTTATACAACTCAACACCAGGAAGACAAACAATCCGATTTAAAAAATGGGCAAAGGACCTGAACAGACACTTCTCTGAGGAGGACATATAGAGGGGCCATAGACATATGAAAAGATGTTCACCATCACTAACCATCAGAGAGATGCAAATTAAAACCACAATGAGATATCACCTCACACCTATCAGAATGGCCATCATTAATAAATCAACAAACAACAAGTGCTGGCAAGGATGTGGAGAAAAGGGAACCGTAGTACACTGTTGGTGGGAATGCTGACTGGTACAGCCACTGTGGAAAATAGTATGGAATTTCCTCAAAAAATTAAAAATGGAACTGCCTTTTGACCTATTAATTCCACTGCTGAAAATATACCCAAGAATCCCAAAACACCAATTCTAAAGAACTTACGCACTTTTATGTTCATAGCAGTGCTATTTATAATAACTAAGTGCTGAGAACAGCCTAAGTGCCCATCAATAGATGAGTGGATCAAAAAACTGTGGTACATTTACACAATGGAATACTATGCAGTAGAAAGAAAGAAGAAGGAACTCTTATCCTTTGCAACATCATGAATGGAACTGGAGACCATTATGCTAACTGAAATAAGCCAGTTGGTGAAAGACAAATGCTATATGATCAAATTTATAAGAGGAATCTAATGAGCAGAATAAACTAATGAGCAAGACAGAACCAGAGACATGGAAACAGGGAACAGACTGACAGCTGCCAGAGGAAAGAGGGTGGAATGATGGAGAGAAGGGGAAGGGATCAAAAAACATGTATGAATAACCCGTGGACATGGACAATGGTGTGGGGATGGACTGTGGGCGTGGGGGGTGGGCTGGGTGGAGGAGGGCAAAGGGGGAAAAATGGGGACAACTGGAATAGAATAAACCAGAATAAAAAAGTAAAACAGGGAGTAAATAAAATATAGAGGTACTGAAGCTTTTAAAATGTTGTATTTTGGGTATACTGCCTAATCTGTGTTAAAAATTGGTTCTCTGCTAGACTTGAGGTTTTATTACATTGGACAATCAACATACTATGTAGAGCAGATGGTCACTTAGGCTATGCCTATTATAATTTTCAGGATGTTATTTTTGTTATACTTTGTTATGAATTTACACACAGAAGTTAGCACTTTCACAACTCAGCTTTGATCATAAGTTCAACTTAGGGTCCTCTTCTCCTTTTTTAAAGGAGATATTTTGTAACATTTCAGTTTTCTGGTTGTCATTGACCTTTCTTTCTTTCTTTTTTTTTTTCCTACCAAACTCACTAATTCTCACACTCCCAACTCATTCAACTCCCATAGTGGATGCACTGTATGTAAGTTTGGAAAGGTTTCCTCTTTGTCATGTGCTACTGATAGTAGACTAAAATTATTCTTCATCTCACAGATAAGAGCACCGACCTTTGAGAACTGTATCTCATTTTCAGGGGTGTCTAGTTACAGCATCAGTGGATCACGTTAGGCCAGAATCACCAGATGAACTTTTCCCACGCAGTTCTTCCTTTCCTGCACTGTGCCCCTGCCTCTCAGAAATACTTGCTTATTGCCTAAAGATCACAGTCAGATTCTAAGTCAGGCAAAGGACACCTTCCCAGCTTCACATTTCTCTCCTGCATTTTAACACCCACGTGAAGCTCCAAGGTTAAGGTTGGCTTGCCCGTCCTCGTGGGTACCTCCTAGGACAGAGGATTTACTATTTTATTGTCTCTAAGCTTGGTGCAGGATGTTCAATACCATTTTTATAGCGATGGCTTAGGATTTCCATTCAGGATCCAATATTCTTGCTGACATGTTCGATTGCAATGATATACTATTTTCTTCCCTTAAAAAATAACCCACAAGTGTTTCAATTATTAGCACAGTTGTGAAGATGGCACTGCAGTTGCAGCAGACAGCAGCGAGGCAAAATTGTAACATATTCCCTATTTCAAAGCCAGATTTCTATCTCATGTAGATTTCAATAAAGACTTCATTTTGGGGGAGCTGGTAATGGGAGACCCCTCAGTGATCTACCTGGGTAAGGATGCATACTGCCTCTCCATCCCCTCGAAGCGGAGGTTGTGTGCATTCCCATCTGGACCCTTTCCAGACACCTGTGGAGAGAAAAGTAATTAGAGATGAAGATCCATTATACACCCTGGTTACTGACAATGCATCTCAAAATTATAATCAGTGCACAAATGCTGCTGTCGCCTGCCAAAAATCAAGCATGGGAAAGCAAGCAAGAATTCAGTATCGCTCTACGAACTGACGATTAAGCCACAAACACGGCATTTAACAACAAAGTCACTTCTTTCAAAAAAGAGTCATTGTCAAACTGACTCCTTCTTGTCACCATGCCAGGGATAATCTGTAGGCTGTAGGAACACTTTTTAGAAAACAGGCTTTAATTTTTATAACAGCTTTAGACTCACAGGAAAATTGAGTCGGACAGAGCACCCCCTCATCCCCAGTTTCCCTATTACTGACATCTCACAGGAGTATGGTGCCTGTACTGCCATTGATGAATTAATACTGATACATTATTGTTAACTACAGCCCACAGCTTTTTCAGACTTTTACCTATTGTCTTTTGTGTTCCAGGATCCCATATTACATTTAGTCATCCTGTCTCCTTAGGCTCTTATTGGTTGTGACAAGGACTATATTTTCAAAAGTGCCTTTTTAGTGAAACCTTTCTTTGCTAACAGGCGTTGTGACAGCCAGCCACCTGCTCTGCAGCTGCCAGGAGGCCCTTCCTCACCCAAACCTCACTTAGTTCCCTCACTTAGGAACAACCAAAGGGAAGTGATTAACTGTTTTCAATGTAGTGTTGGTCTTTATTGTTTGCTTTTCCTTTTCTATATACTTCCTTTGTTCACCTCTCTTTAGGCCTCTTCTATCAGCCTCTGAAATTCTGAAGAGCAGTTATTGTCTGTGTAGTTCCTCAATGAAGTGTGTTAGTTCCATGAATCTAAAGACTTTGTACACAGTCCTTCTGTATCTAACATACTGACTGAAAACAGGATGAACTTACAGGTATTTAAAAGTACTTGTTGACTGACTGATTCCTCCCCTGTTCATGTCCACCAGTCAGGTGGCTCTGTGGCCTGCTCCTGTGCTCGCTCTTGTGCTGGGGTAGCCCTCACATAATGGGCATGACAGGGGTAAGTAGAAAATCTGGACTGTTATTCGGGTGGGGAGGGAAAGTTTGTTAGGAAATATTAGTGTCAAGGTCTGTAGGAAAATTTTTTCTAGGTAGTACTTAATCTGGAAGTTATTTTCTTCCTACTCAAAGTCCTAGCTCTCTATAAAACCAGCACCCAGCTTGGGTGGTGTATGTAGGAAGGGTTTGTTGGGGACGTGTTGCAAAGTAAGTGTACACACTGATTTAGAGTAAGGAAGACTATTCCTGGTCTTGATTTATTACAGGAGGCCCTTCAGAGTGGATCCTACAAAACCTCTTCACATCTCACCAACGGCTAGAACAGGAGTGGCTGGAGTGATCTGAGGGGACAACCGCCCAGTGAGCTACCTAGGTCGAATGAAGTTGCACATACACACTTACAAGCAACAGGGAGAATGTTTAACACGGACCTTTCTAGCAAAGGCCAAAGGTAAGGATGGCGTCAGACAGACGGGATAAAGAAATGGTGCAGAAAAAGAAGTGAAGGATATGAGTGTTGTTATCAGGCATTCTCACCTACGGTTTCTTTTGTTTTCAACCTATTTTTTTTTTATGGAGGAAAAATTAACATAAATCCAAAAACTATGTTAAAGATGATTAATTGTGGTTGTTGGAAAAGATTATACCTATGTATCCCTAGTATGGCTGTAGACATTTACAACTAACCTCTTCCTGGGAGCCACAAAGCTCCAAGTTGGTGCTTTCAGCATGGGTATCTAGACTGCCCTGGCCTGACAATGGCAGGCAACATTCTGGTGGTTCTAGGGGGCATCACCCATGTGCCTGTTCTTTCACTGAGCTACCGGCAAACTAGATTCTATGATGGATACGGTGATCCATATCCTGAAGGAGCTTCGAGCCTTGTTGTTCAAGAATGCTGTAGGACAACGTACGATCCAGGGCCATTCAGGATGTTATTAACAGTAGCACAGGTAACACCTGAAAGTGTTTAGGAAAAAAAAATGCACGGAAGTAGCACAACATAGGCCAGGCTTCAAATGGTGGGTGATATTCTTTTATATGAAAAATTATTCTGTTCTTCACCAGTTGTGTATATATTTAACGTGCTTCTCTATTAATATCACAGCGTCTTTCAGGCAATCATCTGATTAGTGATTACCGAGCACCTACTGTATCTGAAAGCTAGGCGCTCTATTCAAAGCAGGAACAGGAGCTGGGTTTCTTCATTGCTTTGACTACAGAGGAGACAGGCCTGCAAACAATTATGGTGCAGTGAGGTCACTGGCAGAGTGTTAGTCTGAGAGAGGAGGCAGCGGGGGTCTGGGGGAACAGATACCAAAGTCCTCCTGGGAGAGTTGAAGACAGCTTCACAGGGGTGTTGAAGCCTCCTCTAAAACGTGAATATGAATGAGGAGGCATCTTTTAGGGGGAGAAGGGTATAGGAGTAGCAAGAAAAGGAATTCTAAGTAACGGGAACAAAAGTGAAACAACATGGAGGCATAAAAAAAGCACTGTGTTTCCTGGGAATGTCAAGATTTGGGTTAAGGAAGAACTAGGCTAGGAGGAGAAGGATGTCAGTAACAGTCAACGGTACCACTGGGGCTACACCTGCGGCTATAGCCTTCATTGCCACCGTCGCAAGTGTTTTTTGCTTCTGTTTAAATTGACTTGGAGGTGAAATGGTAATGGAAAAAAAATACAATAACATTTTTTAATTAAAAAAATAAAATAAATTGACTTTATTTTTTAGAGGAGTTTTATATTCACAGCAAAATTGAAGGTACAGAGAATTCTCATCTGCTGCCTGCCTCCGCAGGCATAGCCTCCCCCATTATCAATACCCCCCACCAGAGCGGTGCATTTGTCACAAGTCATGAACCTGTACTGACACATCACTATTGTCCAGAGGCTATAGTTTATGTTAGGGTTCACCTTTTGTGTGGTACATTTTATGGATTTGGACAAATGTATTACATGTATCTACCATTATAGGATCACACAGAGTATTTTCACTGCCCTAAAATTCCGCGGGCTCTGCCTAGCCATCCCTCCCACACCCCACCCCAACCCCTAGCAACTATTGATCTTTTTATTGTCTCCATACTTTTGACTTTTCCAGAATGTCAGGTGGTTGGAATCATACAGTATGTAGCTTTTTATATGGGCTTCTTTCACCTTGCAATATGCATTTAAGGTTCCTCCATGCCTTAAATGCAATATGCATTTAAAGTTCCTTCCACGTCTTGGTTCCTCCAAGAAATGTTCATTTCTTTTTAGTGGTGAATAATATTTTATTGTCTGTATATACTATAGTTCACTTATCCATTCACTTACTGAAGGTAATCCTCATGGCTTCCAAATTTTAGAGATAATTAATAGAGCTACTGTAAATATCCATGCACAAGTTTTTGTGTGGACATGTTTTCAACGCCTTTGGCTAAATACCAAAGAACTTGACTGCTGTGTCCGATGGTAAAATGTGTTTGTTTTGGTGAGACACTGACAATCTTCCAGAGTGGATATACCATTTACATCCCACCAGCAATGAATAAGAATTCTTATGGTTCCACATTCTTACCAGCATTTGATGTTGTTGGTGTTCCAGATTTTGGCCATTCTAATGGGTGTGGTATCTTATTGTTGTTTTAATTTGAATTTCAATGATAAGAAATGATGTAGAGTATCTTTTCATATCCTTATTTACCATCTGAATATCTTTTTTTGTGAGATGTCCACTAAGGTCTTTGGTCCATATTTTAATTAAATTGTTTTATTATTGTGTGGTTTTAAGACTTTTTTTTGTATATTTCGGATAACAGTCCTAATCAAAAATGTCTTTTGCAAATATTTTCTACCACCCCGTGACTTGTGTTTTCATTCTTTTGAGAGTGTCTTTTGCTGAGCAGAAATTTTTTATCTTAATGAAGGCCAGCTTATCAATTCTTCCTTTCATGGTATAATATCTAAAAAGTCAACTGCCAAACCCAAGGTCATTTAGATTTTGTTATCAATGTTAATATTCTAGAAATTTTATAGTTCTGAATTTTACGTTGCTGTCTGTGATCCATTTTGAGTTATTTTTGTGGAGGGTACAGGTCTGTGTGCACATTAATTTTTTTTATTTTTTATTTTTCGCATGTGGATACCCAGTTGTTCCAGTACCCTTTGTTGAAAAGACTGTCCTTGCTTCATTGTATTGCCTTAGCTCCCTTGTCAAAGATCAGTTGATTATATTCCTGTGAGTCTGTTTCTGGATTCTCTATTCTGTTTCGTTGATCTTTTTGTCTGTTCCTGAACCAAGACCACACTGTCTGGATTACTGTAGTTTAATAGTAAATCTTGAGTTGGGTAGTGTCAGTTCTCCAATATGGTTCTCTGTCAATATTGTGTTGGCTATTCTGGATCTTTTTCCTCTCCACATACACTTTAGAATTAGTTTCTCAAGATCCACTAAATAACTTGCTGGGATTTTGACTGGGATTGCATTGAATCTGTAGAAAAAGTTGGGACTAAATGACATCTTGACAATAGTGAGTCTTCCTATCCAAGCACATGGACTATTTCTCCATTTATTTCATTCCTCTTTGGTTATTACAATGTAACATTTATTTGCCACTTATTAAACATCAAGCATAGGACTAAATTTTTTTTTTGTATTAGCCCATTCAATCTTCTGAATAACTGCAATGGTTGTCCCATTGTGCAGAAGGAAAGACTGAGTAGTTGCCTAATGTCATACAGCTAATACCTGGAATATATGAGTTAAGGATTGGGGTTTTTCTCTCAGGGTCAAAGCTCTGGAGATACAGACATAGAGCAGATCTTAAAGGAGCTCCTATGCCATGCCAAGGGACTTAATTTTACCCTTAGGTGATAGTGAAGCCTTTGAGAAATGCAAGATGATTAGTGATATGACATATTTATTGGTTAGAGGGATTATGTTTGCCATAGTGAGGAGTCTCCAGG